TCCAGCCTGGGTGACAGTGTGAGACCCTGTCTCTAAACAATAAATAAATATGTAAATAAATAAAATTCAGTTTTAAGAACTTGATAACTTATCATTACAATGGAAAGGAGAAGTGGGCAAGGGTAACAAGGGGTATCTACAGGGAGGGTTTCTGCAAGTGAATGAAGGGTAATGATACATTTCTCCTACTAGAGTAAAAACACTTATTTTTCCACTATAAATGCAACAAATGCTATCGAAAGAAAGTTGAAAAAATGAAAAAACTAAAAATATTGAAAAATCCAGTGTTCTGGCTGGACACAGTGGCTCATGCCTGTAATTCCAGCACTTTGGGAGGCCGAGGTGAATGGATTCCTTGAGCCCAAGGAGTCTGAGACCAGCCTGAGCAACATGGCAAAACCCTGTCTTTACAAAAACTACAAAAATATTAGCTGGGCTTGGTGGTGTGCACCTGTGGTCCCAGCCACTCAGGAGGCTGAGGTGGGAGAATTGCTTCAGCCCAGGAGGTCAAGGCTGCTGCGAGCTGTGATCACACCATTGTACTCCAGAATGGGTGACAGAGGGAGACCCTGTCTAAAAAAGAAAGAAAAAAAAAATCCAGTGTCTCATTACCCAAACACATCCCTAATATCATTCTGGCAGATTTCCTTCAAGCCCTGTAGTAACAGTTCTGTGTCATTCAAACTTCGTGTTCCTTTACAAAATGGCTGCATAAGACCCTGGCGTAAAGATTCACCACAATTTACTTAACCAGTCCTCTAGATTTGGACTTTCAGGTTGTCTCTAATTTTTCATGTTTACAAAGAACAACTCTGTGCACTTAACTTGCTTCTTTCTGTGAATTCATATTTAGAATCGCTGCCTTAGGACATTTTCTCAGAAGTGGAATTACTGAGTCAGCTACTCTGAATGAATATTAATTCCTTTAATTCATTCAGCTTTTACTGGGTGTTCACTGAATGTTTACATAGTGCCTGGCACTGTGCTCAGATAAAGAAGAAAAGATGAAAAACGCAGTCTTGATCTCTGTCTTCAAGAAGTTCACAGCCAGGAGGAGAGCATGATGCCAAACTTCTCTTTCCATAGGTGACTCCACCCTACAGTATATAGTCCACATTTTACCACATCAACACTATTAGTATTCAAACAAATAGACCACACAAAAATTGGGCTTAATTAGTAGGCAGGCCAGGCATGGTGGCTCATGCCTGTAATGCCTCTAGCACTTTGGGAGGCAGAGGTGAGTGGATTACATGAGGCCACGAGTTCGAGACCAGCCTGGCCAACACGGTGAAACCCTGTCTTTACTAAAAATATAAAAACTAGCTGGGCGTGGTGGCAGGCGCCTGTAATCCCAGCTACTTGGGAGGCTGAGGCACGAGAATTGCTTGAACTTGGGAGGTGGAGGTTGCAGTGAGCCGAGATAGCGCCACTGCACTCCAGCCTGGGCAAGAGAGTGAGAGCTGTCTCAAAATAAAAAATAAAAAAAAAAAGTAGGTAAAAAATGTAACCTTGTTTTAATTTGAATTAATGTTTACTGATTAACTGTACCTCCCCTTTTACAAATCACTTCACATTTTTGCTCATACGTTACTGAGATGTTGGTATATTTTTCGTTGATTTGTATGCTTCCATTTCAGAGCAAAGACACGAGCCTGCCATCAGTATGCACTGCTACACCTCCTAGTTTACAATTTAATCTATTTTTTTCCACACTTAAAATGACTTCCTCTTATACTTTGGAGTTATGCCATTTGGCCTATATTGAGAGATGTAATAAGAAACTACTCAATGAAACCTGTTGCTTTATTTACTGAAAGGATTTTTCTTTTTTTTTTTTTTTTTAGAAGACAATGTTGATTATATCAGTTTTCTCTTTAGGAGAACCCACAAAAGAAATTTCTTTCTGATATTAGTATCAAGGTCAGGCACAGTGGTTCATACGTATAATCCCAACACTTTGGGAGGCCAAGGTGGGTGGATCATTTGAGCCCAGGAGTTTGAGACCAGCCTGGCCAAAATGGTGAGACCCCGTCTCTACTAAAAATACAAAAATTAGCTGGGCGTGGTGGCGCATGCCTGTAATCCCAGTTACTCAGTAGGCTGAGGCATGAGAATCGCTTGAACCCACGAGGTGGAGGTTGCAGTGAGCCGAGATCGCAGCACTGCCCTCCAGCCTGGGTGACAGAGCGAGACTGTCTGGGGGAAAAAAAAAAAAAGAGGTCAGAAGTTCAAAAGTGATATGGACTTGAATTAGTTAATAGATTTTTTTTTTTTAAAGATTTCTAATTTCATTATATTTCTTTCTTTTCTTTTCTTTCTTGTTCGAGACGGAGTTTCACTCTTGTTGCCCAGGTTGGAAGACAGTGGCGTGATCTCGGCTCACTGCAACCTCCATCTCCTGGGTTCAAGCAATTCTTCTGCCACAGCCTCCCAAGTAGCTGGGATTACAGGCATGCACCACCACACCCAGCTAGTTTTGTATTTTTTTTTTTTTTGAGGCGGAGTTTCGCTCTGTCGCCCAGGCTGGAGTGCAGTGGCCGGATCTCAGCTCACTGCAAGCTCCGCCTCCCGGGTTCACGCCATTCTCCTGCCTCAGCCTCCCGAGTAGCTGGGACTACAGGCGCCCGCCACCTCGCCCGGCTAGATTTTTTTTGTATTTTTTAGTAGAGACGGGGTTTCACCGGGTTAGCCAGGATGGTCTTGATCTCCTGACCTCATGATCCGCCCGTCTCGGCCTCCCAAAGTGCTGGGATTACAGGCTTGAGCCACCGCGCCCGGCCTAGTTTTGTATTTTTAATACACATGGGGTTGATCAGACTGGTCTCCAACTCCCGACCTCAGGCGATCCACACACCTTGGCCTCCCAAAGTGCTGGGATTACAGGCATGAGCCACCGTGCCTGGCCTTCGTTATATTTTCTAACAAAAAAAATTAGGTTTCTAACTTCATTTTCTTTTCTTTTTTTTTTGAGACGGAGTCTTGCTCTGTCACCCAGGCTGGAATGCAGTGGTACCATCTCGGCTTACTACAACCTCCATTTCCTAGGTTCAAGAAATTCTCCTGCCTCAGCCTCCCGAGTAGTGGGGATTACAGGCACTCGCTACCAGAGCCAGCTAATTTTTTTTTTTTTTTTTTTTGTATTTTTAGTAGAGATGGTGATTCAGCATATTGGCCAGGCTGGCCTCGAACTCCTGGCCTCAACTGATCTGCCTGCCTTGGCCTCGCAAAGTGCTGGGATTCAGGCATGAGCCACCATGCCTGGCCTAATTTCATCATATTTTCTAATTACTATTAATATGTAGGATTGTTATGAATTTTTGCCACATGCAATACATTTATACTCTTCAATTTAGATTAAAAAATGTATTTTTTAATCTATCTATCTATCGACTGACCAAGTTATGAGATTGGTTAATTTTTGTATTTTTGGTAGAGACAGAGTTTTACCATGTTGCCCAGGCTGGTCTCAAACTCCTGGGCTCAAGTGATCCGCCCACCTCAGCCTCCCCAAAGCGCTGGGATGACAGGGGTGAGCCACTGCACCTGGCTGCTTGAATTTAGATTTTTAAAAGAATTTCATTATCACCAACTAAACATAATTTTATCTCTTTTTTCAATATTAATACTTCATTTCTTACTTCACTTGCCAGAACAGTGTTTTTAAAAAAATTATCTACCTACGGCTTTAGGTTAGAAAATGAGAACTGATTCAAGGGAACAAGAAAAAGTTTTGGAAATTATTTAAACTCTTAAAGACTTTAATATTACAAACCAGAGGCAACATGACAATGGTGAGAGGATGTGTTGCTGAAGACACATTGTTGGGGTAGCTGGGTATCCACCTGGCTATCAGTTCAGAAAATTAGAACTGCTTCCTCCCACACAACTGCAATCCCATTCAGATGGGTCACAGTGTTCCATGTTAAAAAAAAATTGGAATAGCATATTTATTCCAGCTGTGGAAGGAAGATAAACTTCTGACTATTGTGAAATAAAGGATATCATCAGAGACAAACTGAATAGGTATGAATATATAAAAATAAAATAGTTTCGCCCAATGAAATGTAAAAAAAGGGACAGTAATAGAGAAGGAAAAAAAGCTGATAAAAGTTTACAAGCTTATATATATGTATATAAATCTATTACAAATATGAAATATATAAGGTCAAGAACCATATTCCAAGGAATAAATGGTCAAATGGTCAAAAGAGTCCAATCCATTTATACACAAAGGAAACAGAAATAGTAAACTGTCATTTGGAACACGGCAAAGCCTCTCATAAAATTAAAACAAAATGCAAAAAACACCTTCGGGAATAATTGCATGCTTGTTAAATTAAGAAACTGATAGGATATAATGTACAGAAATGTATCCATGTACTTATATATATCTGGTAGCACTGCAACCAATACAAGCTCTTGGAAAGCCTTCTAATAAATGCAACAACAGCTACATATGTATGCACGCACTCGTGCAGACACACACACTGACCTCCTACTCCACTTGGAGGAACTACACCCCCCAAAGGAACAGTGATTTGTTATTTAGAGACCTACTCATAACAGGAAAAAAATGAAAATAACCCAAGAACCTAAAAAAAGAAGGGCTAAACAAACTACAGGATGGCAACATGAGGTATCATATAGCTTTTTGAAAGGACACATATGGGGACACAAATAACTAGAAGTGCAAAGGGACTATCTCAAACCAATGCTTTGCAAAACTTTCATGTATTATGTGAATTAAGAAAGGTGTAGCCAGAGTGAATGTTTTCCTATACTCTTTTTTTCCTTAGGTTCCCTGGGCCTTGAAGAGATCAGAAGCCCACCTGGTACTGTTCAGCTGACCACACACCTGTGATCTCCCTCCTTTAATACAACATGCTCCAGTTGACACCTTCAGCCTTCAGTAAGTACCATCATAGGAATACACACTCTGCTTTACAGCTTAGGTTTCTGGAAAGGAAAGCAACTGCTGAGTTGTTTCATGGACTTACTGTGAGTGTGGCGAGGGACATGAAGCCGATTAGGTTATTCCATACTTTATCGATGTCTTTCAGCAACTGCTGGAGTTTCTCACTGCACACTGCAGTGGCTTTGATCCCCAGCTCCACACGCTTGGTTACCCTGTACACTTCAACAACACCTGATGGGATGAGAGAGCAGAGAGAGAGTGTTGGCAGTGGAGACACAGAGGAACCAGACAGGGGAGCATCATTGCTTGCTGGTATCTGTTAGAAACAAGGGTACATCTGGACAGAGGTGTACGTACTATTCTCTGGGACCAATCCACTTCTCAATGCTGCTGTACAGCTCACTGGTAAGAGCACAGACTCTAAAGCTGCACTGCTTGGGTTCAAACTCCAGCTATGCCTCTTACTGGCTACATGACCTTAGGCAAGCCACGTAACCTCTCTGTAACTCCGTTTCCTCATCTGTGAAGTTGGGACGGTAACAGCACCTCCTCCAAGGATGGTTGAGAGGATTAAACAGGTTAACATGGTAAAAGGCTTACAACAGTGCTTGGAGAATGGCAGGCAATATGCAAGTTATTAGCTTTTGTTTTTTGGGAGGTTTATTTATGAGTCCATCTGCTTGAATCTGGGAAATCCCAATAAACTAGCTGAAAATGGGGATAGTAAAAATTTAAAAGAATCTAAATGTTAATAGCATCAAAAAGTAATTAAGAAATATCTCACCCCTCTGATTCTGAAGGTCTTACAAACACTTTGACTTCACTTATCTTTACACATGCAACAGGATGCAGACCGGTTCTTTTCCTGTGGTCTCTAAATTGTGGCTGAACTCTTTAAGCAAGGATGAGAGGTGATAAGTACCTCACATTCTAAGGACAGCCACCAGATACATCCCTAACGCCTGCAATGTGACAGTCACCAAAGACATGACCCCGACCTCTCTAAGTGAACACAGAGGAATTCCAGGGGATCTTCAGAGTGGTGCCTCAGCAGCCCCGTGTACAGCACTATGGCCTTTCTTCTTCCTTCCCCAAGGGAGGGGCAGAAATTACTGCCCACCCTAAGCCAAGTGAGGGGGCTTCTAAGAGAATCTTCCATAGATACAAGGATACGAGGAGAAAAGACAGGTGTCCCATTTCCTGGTGGACATCTGCTTATGCAGAACTGTGCCTGTCTGAGCAGGAAAAGAAGACCCCGAGTGAGGTGGCAGGAGTAAGGCAGAGGCTACATCCCTTCACTCTCCACTCATCCAGCAAATATTTTTGAGTGCCAACTACGTGCAAGACACTAGATTAGGTGCTGGGGACACACCAGCGAACAAAACAGACCAAAATCCTAGCCTTCTTGGAGGTTCATTCTAGTGAAGGGAGACAGAGCATAAAAACAACAAGTAACTAGGCGCAGTGGCTCACGCCTGTGATCCCAGCACTTGGGGAGGCCAAGGTGGGTGGGTCGCTTGAGTTCGAGACCAGCCTGGGCAACATGGCGAAAACCTGTCTCTACAAAAACTACAAAAATTAGCTGCACACATGGTGGTGCGCGCCTGTGGTTCCAGCTACTTGGGAGGCTGAGGTGGGAGGATTGCTTGAGCCTGGGAGGTGGATGCTGCAGTGAGTCATGATCACATCATTGTACTCCAGTCTGGGTGGCAGAGTGTGATCCTGTCTTAAGAAAAGAGCAATAAGTAACATATGTAAGAAATTAAAGGTAATAGAGCAAAAGAGAAAATCCAGCAGAGAATGGGATGGGAAGTGCCGGGGTGGGGAGAGAGGATACTCTTCGGAGAGACGGATGCTAGGAAAGATTTCACTCAGAAGCTGACATGTGAGTAAAGATTTGAAAAAGATTAGGGTCCAGTGTGTGTGGCTCCGGCCACAGGCCAAGCCTGAGCCTGGGGAAGGGAGGAACACTGAAGCGGACAGAGGCTGCGCTTTCACGTTGGACTGACATATCTAATTGCTGCAGATGACCAGGAGGTTAAGGATTCTGTGGTGTCATTAAGCAGTTGAGAGAAAGAATATAGAGTATGGTAAGGAACTGATGGGAGACAAGATGATTTTATTTCAGTGCATCAGTAGCTCAGGTTCTTTGATAAACCAGTAACAGAGACATAATTTTACATTTTTGCTATTATGTATATAACAAGGACGAGGAAACTTAGCCATAGAGACTTTTTAAATTCAGTAGTTTACTGCCTGTAACTTAAGTGTCTTACCCACAAATGCAGATACTTCTTAGTGAAGTCATATGTAACTTGAGAGATCTAGCTTAAAATAATTAAAGGGAAAAGTGAAAATAATGCAAAGTGCCATCATTTTCAATAGTAAAATATAAAAGAACATACCTAATAAATATTCCATGCCTTGAGCTGACTGAATTACTTCTGTGCAAACAGAACTACTACTGATTCCATTTAAGGTATCATTTGCCTTCTTAATGACCTACAAGAAATGAAATCACATCACTTTACATAACTGACAAAAGTCATCGCAAATCAATTTACTGTTAGTAGAAAACCCAACCGAAAAGCCACGAGGTGTCAAAAAATCTCATTTTATCCTTGAAGAAACAATCCTCCATTTCTTTGGAAGAGAAAAGACAGTTTTTTTTTTTTTTTTTTTTTTTGAGACGGAGTCTCACTCTGTAGCACAGGCTGGAGTGCAGTGGTGTAGTCTCAGCTCACCACAACCCCCAACTCCCGGGTTCAAGTGATTCTCCTGCCTCAGTTTCCTGAGTAGCTGGCACTACAGGCGTGTGCCACCACGCCTGGCTAATTTTTGTACTTTTAGTAGAGACGGGGTTTCACCATGTTGATCAGGCTGGTCTTGAACTCCTGACCCCGTGATCTGCCCACCTCAGGCTCCCAAAGTACTGGGATTATAGGTGTTGAGCCACTGCACCCGGCCAAGACAGGTTCTTTAGTTTAAATATTATTTTGATTTAGAGTTAATGAAATCACTTTGGTATTTCTTAAACACAATGACAGATGAGGAGACGACTGACACATGAGCCAGTCTGCTATTGTAAGTGTGAAAGAAGCCTCACCTACGATGTATGACTTCCACAGAGTTTCATTTCGCCCAGGGACATCCACGTAAGGCTCTCCTGAAGTTTGCCTCTGTCCATTCAAATGAACCAAGAAGGCAAAAAGGCACAAGAGAACACTTACATACATGTGAACGCGAAAATGACATACTCACATTCAGGGCACTCCCCAGGCATCTCTGCCATTCATATGCATATCTCTCATTTTCCTGTGAATTTGATAAAAAGAACTGGGTTAAGCCTTGAGCGCCAACCTGGAATCTTCTATTGATGACTCTGTCAATTCAAAGGGCTTGAGCTTGGAAGACTTTCCGTTTTATTACAATCACTCTAGTCCAAGCAGTTTTTTTTTTCTTTTTTTTGAGACAGGGTCTTGCTCTGTTGCCCAGGTTGAAGTGCAGTGGCGTGATTTCTGCTCACTACAGCCTCAACCTCCTGGATGCAAGCAATCCTCACACCTCAGCCTCCAGAGTAGCTGGGACTACAGGTGCGCACCACCATAAGCGGCTAATTTTTGTATTTTTGGTAGAGGTGGGGTTTCACCATGTTGCTCAGGCTGGTCTCAAACTCCTGAGCTCAAGCGATCTGCCCAACTTGGCCTTCCAAAGTGCTGAGATGACAGGGATGAACCACCACGCCCGGCCACAGTTTATCTTTTGAACTCACTAATAACTATGTTAAATTACTACTAAATGTAACTTCTGAGCACAGGATCTGTGAGTCTAAGGGACATGCTTTCCAGCAGCTTCCCCCTGTGAGTGTTGCCTCATTTGTTCCACCAGTAACAGTGTAAGCCTTTCTTCCAAGGCACTCAGCATGTAGCTATCTCGTACAGAAACTGCTATTAGGCTGCTGACCTTCCACTCCCTGGTTGTAATGCTGTGTGTGAGGACATGGCCCACGTGCACGTGTAACAAGGAGTAGGGAAAGGCAGGAAGTTAAGTGTGTTGGCCATAGGAGGAACATCCCGTGGTATAGGTGTGCACCACCATGCCCGGCTAATGTACTAAGATGCAGCAGACAAAAATAAAAAATTCAGAATATTTTCCCTGTCTCCTCTATTTTGAGGTTTCATGAAGACAATAAAGTCTAAGTGCTCAAGAAGAATTCTACAAACTCTGCCATCCTTGTGAAGTCCCATGAATAGTTTTGGTTTTAGGGTCACTGACTACTTTCAGTGGGTGCCACACCTGGAAAATGTTTTCACCCAGGGCTAATGTTACCCTTCTCTCACTTTAATTACATAGTTTATGTCTGGTGCTTTGTGCCTTTCTGCTCCTCATTTTCCCCATGTGAAAGCTGAGAGCATTCTTTCTTGGGGTCCTGTGTGCTTGCTGGTCTGTTATCCATCCCCTATAGAAAGCTCTCCTCTCACCTCCACCTCTCCCGTCAGGTCTTTGTACTTGTCTCGAATGACGGGCAGTGCGGGCTTCTCATTCAGAGTATTGGAACGGTCTCTGAAAGGCTGCTCCAAAGCCGGAGAAGGGGAAGAACGGCTTATTTCTTTATCACCGAGGCTCAAACTCCTCTTGTGTGATCCTGGGAGAAGGGGAGAATACAGTCAAAGGTTTTGGCCACCTATCTTAGTTCAGGCAGAGGCTCTTCCTCGCTACCACAACCCTCTTTTTTTTTGTTTTTGTTTTTGTTTTTTAAGACAGAGTCTTGCTTTGTTGCTCAGACTGGAGTACAGCGGTGCGATCTCGGTTCACTGCAACCTCTGCCTCCTGGGTTCAAGCAATTCTCCTGCCTCAGCCTCCTGAGTAGCTGGGACTACAAGTGTGCACCACTGTGCCCGGCTAATGTTTGTATTTTTAGTAGAAATGCGGTTTCACCGTGTTGGCCAGGCTGATCTCGAACTCCTGACCTGAAGTTAACTTGCCTGCCTCCGCCTCCCAAAGTGCTGAGATATTACAGATGTGAGCCACTGCGCCCAGCCCACGACCCTCTTCTTCAGATGCTTATGTCATGAGGCATTCACAAACACATTCCTCATTCATTCTTTCCGGGAAGCTACATGTTGAATTCTTTCCACTGTTCTCTCTTGCTTGGTTTCCCTGCCTTTTATTTTCAATATGACTCTTCTCTGATCTATCACAAGTCTTCCATAATGCTCAGTGCAGAATCACTGGAGCCTGGAGAACAAAAGCACCTTTCTAAATACCAGTGTGTAAGAGTTGTGTGGCTTTTCCAGTCATTTGTTATGGATTTGTAACCGAGTTCCTTCACAGGCTCTCAATCCAGCTGAAATCAACGACCCCTTCAGTCAGGATGAGATTAAAGCAGAAGAGGCAAACTCAAATGCCTTCAGAGACCAGGCAAGGAAAGTGAATACCCTAAGTAGGTCCGCTGAGACAGGAAGCGGTGAAGATTATGGCAAGAGAGAGAGAATGACCCATCTACAGGGAGCGGTGCTTTTGGCTCCAGCTGCTTGTCAGCATATGGGAGTGCAGACCTACTAGTGCCAGATATTATGACTTCTCAAGAAAAGGTGGAAATCCAGATTGGGAAAACTCATGTCTTTTAAATACTGGCAATTACTTCGTACTTAAAAATCTCTTGTGTGGGTCAATGTGATACGCAGGCTGGATGTAGATCCACGGCCACCACATTGCAACCTTTGGATTCAAAGACATTATCTGTGCCCAGGGAAGAGGAGCGGAGCTAACGTGCCTTCAAGTGGCTCAAATCCATTTATCTGGCTCTTTTAACACAGCACACCTCTAACCAAACGAGCTAATGAACAATACCTGTATGCTATGCTTGTTTTTAGCCCATAAAACAGTTATATGAGGGATACTGATTTTGACTCCGGTCTCAGGGAAATCTTTATTATAGCTATCTGTAATTGACCCGGATTTCAAAGATTAGAAAAATCTATTTCCTGCTAAACCAGGGAACAACATTTTATTCTTAAGAACATCTAACATCTCAGTGGGAAAAAACCGCAATAGTAAAATCTACCTTGGAAGCTACTCACCTTGAACAGAAAGGTCAAAGGTTGCCAGCTCACTTTTGATCATTTCTTCACTGGATTTCATTTTGCTTTGTGAAGTGGCTACTAAGAAGTCAAATTTGCTGATTTTGGGCTTTTCACTTTGAAACTCTCCAAAGTCATCCGAACATTCGTTGGGGGTTTCTTGAGAGGCGCCGCTGGACGCTGGGCTGGGACAAGTGGCCTCTGGGCTCCGTTCAGCTGTAGGCAGGTCCTGTCTTGTGAAATCTTTATAGTCTCTGCTTTCATATTCCTTTTGCTCACTGGTCTGAGGAATCATGTCTTTAAAACTGGCAAACGCTGGGAAGGTGGTCTCTGGAAGAGCATCTTCACTTGCAAAGGTTGTTACTTTGGAGAGAGATGTCATGGTGATGTTTTCAGAACTGCCAAATGAAGTCTCTTTCTTTTGAAGAATTGAGGTGGCTGAGGGGGATCCACTTCCTGCTGAGAGGACAAATGGAGAGAGTTTTCTGCCCTGAGTTGCATCATCCCTGTCTGACCAGTCACAGCTTGTAAGTGTGCTCACTGCAAAATTGCTACTGTAGCTTCCAAAAGCAGCATATTTTAAGTCCTCTATATCTGAAAGGGAAATAAGACCCCACAATTAGAGGCAAGCAATTTAGGCAAAATGCCCTAAACTCTGTAGAAGCAAAATGGCTAGCATATTTGATTAGTTTTATACTATGTTGAAATTAGCTAAATTTAGAGTTTGCACTAAAATTAAAAGAGTTGGGCTGTAAAATCTGATCTTAAAAAAAACCCACATTAGCCTTGAGTTGGCATTTACATTTAGTTACCAAGAACCATTTTCTTTGGCTATAAAAATTACTAAAAAAAGATAGGAGGTTCATCTACCAATGTATATACTATTTGATATACGATTGGGGTCATTTAATAAATTGTTCCCTTATAAACTTAAAAATATACTGATATTCCTTGCCTAAAACATGTCTCCCTTCATCTTGACTTTGTTGGAAAATGTGCCTTTAAAACATGGTCATGTGAAATGTACACGGCAAAATAATTAAAAGTTGACAGTTTCTCAAAACTAGAATGAAAATAATGTCATCTAACTTTTAATCAATTATTAGGGTTTCTGTCATAATATTATCAATTATTAGGATTTCTGTCTCAGGCAATGCCAAATATGAGATTTTAATCAAGCCATTACTTACCTAGTTGTTATTTTGGTCAAATTGGACATCATATTGCTGTGATGAAGTATGAGGAAAGAAACATCAATCTGATCTACTTTCGCCCTTAAAAAATGCAATAAAAAGATCTGGGTCCTGTTGAGCTCCACTTTTTCCTTCAACTATGTATCTACTCTCCATTTAAAAAAAAAAGGAAAGAAGGAAAAAAAAAGAACTGCTGGGGCAGACGACTGATTTTACAAAGCATTCTTAATATATAGTTAAGTAATTTAAAAGGCAGCATAAAACAGCAGAAAGAATGTAGGTTTTTGATTTAGAAAGACCTGAGTTCAACTCTGCTACCTACTATTTGTGTGGCACTAGGCAGATGATTGAACATTTCTGAACCTCAGTTTGCTTATCAGTACAATGAGGAGAAGACCATGTACTTGGAAGGACTGTGTTACGGCCATCAACCGTGAGCATGTGTGTAAAAGGCCAGATTGGCGCCTGGTGAGCAATACATAATAGCTAGTGTCTGCTCTGCATAGGTGCCACCAGCCTCAACTTGACAGTTAATTGCTGCTTTAGGGCCTAGAGGGGAATTTCAAAGCAAAAATGAAAAGTCAACTCAGCATTTTAGTGGTATTACTAGGAGAAAGAGGTTCTTGCTCATTTTCAAAAAGCAAAACCAGCCAAGACTGAATTAGGCTGGTGTGGAGAAGTGGGTTGATATGCATTTAGTTTCATTGTAGTCACTGTACATGAGGCAAGAAGGCTAAATACAAGACTCTTCCTCTGACAACCACATATGTGATTTACAAGGAAACTGATCAAAAGTTTTGTGACCTAGATTTTCAGAACTAAGGCAACAGGTGAACCACCATGGAGTCATTTTTCTCTTTCTTTCACAGCAATACTGCATAATTTATGAGGGGTAAGAGGCTCCTGACATTTCCATAGCTCTTCTAATGGTATAATCCAAATCTCTTTTTCTTTGAGCTGTTAGGAAAGGGGTACTAAGTTAATAATAACAAAAAACAGTAGCCATACAAAAAACCAACCAGCAAAAAGTAAACACTTTTCACAGAATGATGGTATATTTAAAAATTCTGCGGTGCAATCATACCCTTCAAATGTGGTTTATAAAACAGAAGGAAAAAAAGATTCAGGTGAAAAGGTTCTTTTTTTTTTTAATTTCTTTTTTGAGACGGAGTTTTACTCGTCACCCAGCCTGGAATGCGATGGCGCGATCTCGGCTCACTGCAACCTCCGCCTCCTGGGTTCAAGTGATTCTCCTGCCTCAGCCTCCGGAGTAGCTGGGACTACAGGCAACTGCCACCACGCCCGGCTAGTTTTTGTATTTTTAGTAGAGACGGGGTTTCACCATGTCAGTCAGGCTGGTCTTGAACTCCTGACCTCAGGTGATCCGCCTGTCTCGGCCTCCCAAAGTGCTGGGATTACAGGCATGAGCCATTGAGCCTGGGCTCAGGTGAAACATCTAGAGTTTAGAATGAATGGAAAAGCCTTTAACCCAAAGCTTTCTTGGTCTTTTGCTGTAGTGTTCTTCTGTTTTTGTTTTTTTCCCCACTATTTAAAGGGACCAGAAGGTGTCCAGACTCAAATGAGGTGAAATTCAATCAGCGGGTGATGCAGTTAAATACAGGACTATTCTTGGAGGGGTACATTCAGAAGAATGTTTCATAATACAGATTATTTTTATTCCTAGGTCCTATGAAAGCATTTTGGGAAACTATATTAGGAACTGCTTCTAGAATCTTTCCTATTAAAAGGGTATCAGGCCGGGCATGGTGGCTCACACCTGTAATCCCAGTACTTTGGGAGGCCGGGGTGGGTGGATCACCTGAGGTTAGGAGTTTGAGACCAGCCTGACCAACACGGTGAAATCCTGTCTCTACTAAAAATACAAAAATTAGCCGGGCGTGGTGGCAGGCACCTGTAATCCCAGCTACTTGGGAGGCTGAGGCAGGAGAATCGCTTGAACCCAGGAGGTGGAGGTTGCAGTGAGCCGAGATCGCGCCATTGCACTCCAGCCTGGGCAACAAGAGCGAAACTCCACCTCAAAATAATAGTAATAATAATAATAATGATTAGCTGGGCGTGGTGGCGTGTGCCTGTAATTCCAGCTACTTGGGAGGGTGAGGCAGGAGAATCGCTTCAATCAGGGAGTCGGAGATTGCTGTGAGTCAAGATGGCACCACTGCACTCCAGCCTGGCGACAGTTTGAGACTCTGTCTCAAAAAAAAAGGAGACAATTTTCCTAGAGGCAAATGATAAATTTAATGAAAATTATCTCCAGATCAAACACTGCAATCAAGATATTGCTATGGTAATAAAAAGATCTTTCTTTGCAATTACACAACAACAAAATGTCTTTTAAAAAACTAAAATGACTAATATAATCAGGTAAAAGGCATTACAGGCAATAAGGGATTGCCTTAGCTGAGGCATTTTTAAGCATTTTTAAAATTTCAGGAAATCTTATTTTTATTAAAAATGATAACGCCTGTAACATCTTGCCTTTTGGAGCAACTCCCAGAAAAGACTAAATGAAAGACTAGAAAGCAAATGAAAGACTTAAAAAGAAATATTTTATACTTAAAATGAAGAGTAAATACACAAGATTCACTAAAACCAAGCCTCAAAATTGAGTTTTAAATTTACTTTTGCTTATTTGTTGGCTACTATAGTGTGAAAAAGTAATTTCGTAAAGTGTAATTCATTGGAACACAAGTACTGACGGTACATAAGGAATGTGAGACAGAACACCATGCCCCTAAACTTAGCATTTATAAACAATATAAATACAGGGCAGTATGTTCTGGCATAGCAAATATTTGTAAACCATTTTCTAAGAAAAATGTGGTACATCAGTTCATTGAATGTAGCTTAAAGTAAGAAAATTTTCATTTCCCATGTTAATAGTTCTACATTTCTAAGCAGTCCAGTTATACGTATTATTGTATAATGGTCTTAAAAATATTAAAGATTATGTAAGACCTACAACATAAGTGATAGAAGTCTTGTCTGAAAAAATGATGTGGAATAACCCACATTTTAGTTTGTAATCACTGAAAGCTAGTATAGATGGATTTTCAATTTGATAGCTGAATTCTGAAAATTGTAAGAGAAAAAGGAAAAAGAAAATGGAGAATGAATGCAATAAAATGAACAGAAAATCACTACTGTATTTCCAGTTCTGCTGCGGAACTCCTAGGCTGTGCTAGGCTGAACTGCATTTGCACACAGATAATATGCCAAATTGTGTGTTTTAATGCATACATCTGTTTGCAGCCAGGAATGTCCTATTACAAAGGCCAAAGGAATAAACGTATACGATCTGTTTTCCATCATGGATCTCAGATCAAAACGTGTATTTCTTGCTTATGCTGGCAAGTAACCCTATTAGTCTCTTCCATAACCTCTATTCAAATCTCTTTTGAATGGATGTTGTACATGAAAACAAGGTATTTTTTAGAACAAAGAATGTCGGCTGCTACTACAGGACACAGACAGCCAAGCTCATTCCCAAAGACATTTACTAAAGCTGTCAGTATATGCCCAGGTGATGAAGAGTTACTGGCTTTTGAAGGAGTTGAGAGAAAGAGGAAAGGAGATATACGTGCAAATTCCACTATTTTATATAGCAATAAAATAAAATAGCAATAAAATAGCAATAAAAATGTTTACTGGACTAAGAAAGAAACGTATTTTAATTTACAGTACTGATTTAATCTAAACTTCATTTACCAAAGCAAACCGTAAAATACTTGTACGTTTCAGTTTCTCTCTACTCTGGGCCCTAATCTCCTTTAGGCCCTATTCTGTCTTTGATCTACCTATGAGATCAGTCGTATTCATATTCTCTATTAACTAAAACACCTGGTCTGTGTCCTGTAAGTCTCAAACACTGAAGAAAACAGGAATGAAAGTGATCACCGTGTAAGTGGACAGGCTGGAAAATGCTGCTGTTTAATTGCCTTCCAGTGTTTTCTAATCTGTATGAAAACTTCCTGTTCTTCATTTGTACTGACTCACGCAACTCTATGGTTTAAATTATATACACACTATCTATAAGCACCTTTGGGTTTCTGTGTCAGTGTTTTAAGTTCAAAAACGAAAACTGGAAATCCTGTGGATATTTTAAGTCACAGGAAGTCAGAAGGCTAAGGAATGGTGTCAGGATACACAGTGGGATCGCCCCTAGTCATCAGTAAAAATCTCATCAAAGAGACACCAAATGAACACAGAAGACAGGAAGTGCAACTGAGGCCTTTTGGTTCTTTGGTGCATTATTTTAGGATTTAGCACAGGTTTTTTGATATTGCCAGTGTTCCATTCATGTTCATTTGCTACTTCTTTTTTTTTCTCGAGACGGAGTCTGGCTCTGTCACCCAGGCTGCGGTGGGAGTGGCACAATCTCAG